AGACAATGTAGAAGCTGACGTAGTTCGTTCCATGCCGGCAATGAAAAACACAGCATGTGGTTGGTCAAAATGGCTATTGCGCTGTATATTTTTATGGCCAGGACTGCCGTTCGGATTATTTGAGTGGTACTAGTGGGTTCCAGATTAGCGAGTTCATAATGTACATTACATAACACACAACCCCCGTACACTAGTGTAGGACATGTTGAGATTTTTTCCAGAAAGCACAGTTTACTGCATATTATATTCAACAACTTCAACTAGTATTTGGGCGCTCAAGTCAGAACCAATGGTCAAACCTTTTCCATGGTAGACGTGGAACCTCTGATAAGGGACCGTCTGAGATAGGGACGACCTCTCTACAAGGACACTTGTTTTCAAACCCATGCTAATACTTTAGTGTATTATTTGACCTCCGAGATAGGGACGACCTCTCTATAAAGGACACTTGCTTCAACCCTATGCTAATACTTTAGTTGACCTCTGAGATAGGGACAACCTCTCTATAAAGGACACTTGCTTCAACACTTTAGTGTATTATTTGACCTCTGAGATAGGGACACCCTCTCTACAAGGGACAAAATCGCTGGCCACATAGTGTCTCTTGTTCAGAGGTTCCACTGTATACATACGTACATATGTATATTGATCAAGGATATTAGTCAGGGAGCAATTTGTTAAGAGCCACTTACGATGGCAGACATTCCAAAGTTCTTGTAGAGGAACCCGTTTCTGAAGTGGTTTCCTTCGAAGACGACAAAGTCTCCATCGTGGCTCACCTCTCCTCCTACTGACCTGTGTCCCGGTAGAGACGTTACGTTTACATGCTGAGTTGGAATATTATACTGTGCCATAGCACAGTGGTTTGAGGTTTGCCTCGTCTTGTATTGATTTGAACCCCTACCAGCTGAGTTGCCCTGGTAGCTCAGTCGCCTAGACTGTAGAGTATCGTGGGTTCCCACCTAGGGTAACTCTGTCCTGGGTGTAGTTGATTTGTTTGTTGTGCCTTTGCCTTTCTACCTCGTAGTTTTCACATGTGTGCATTAGCAGATCATACAGATGTCTCGTGCCCAGACCCCGCCCTCACGAGAGGAGAGGGTCTGGTGACCATTGAGCATTTTCTTGGTTGTGCTGACTCATCACTGTTGGGTAGATGCACAGAAGAGCCCGTTCTGGTCGCGGGCACGCGGAGTTCACGGAGCTAGCTGCGTTACGAACTATTGCATAATAGCATGTGATATTTCACGCTCTCAGTCTAAAAGTAGACTGTTGAGTCATCTATAGTAAGAGAGCTCACTTGATGGCCTCCTGGTCGAACAGCTTGGCCGGCGGCCTGCCTCTCTTGCGTTTGCGAGTGGCGTCCTCGGTACCCTTCAGTGCTCCTCTCTTGCGGGAGTAGTCGACACGAGGCAGCATCTTCAGAGCCACCTGGTTCCTGGACTTGTCCACATAGTCAACCTGTTGTGGATATCGTTACACTGGTGGTGGGTGGGATTGAAACCAAGGCATTTGGCTGTTTTGCATGGGCCTGTTGTGTCAATATGAGGCACTTGGAGAATGTTGACCTTAGAGAAGTGAGCCCGTTTACATACATACAAACCAAGAGCCCATTTACGAAATGTTCCTAAAGCCGCCTGTGCATGCACAATAACAAATGCGTGGTTTTGGCGTATGCAAATTTTTAGCGGCTAATACAACTCTCATGACACAAATTATGAAATTTCCAGTACTTAACTAATATTTTTAGCGCACATGCTAACTACTCTCGGGAAACTTGTTCAGTAAAAAAGTTGCTTTTGAGAAAACTGTAAAAGTGTTTTTGGTTGAAAAAGTGTATGGTATTGTGTCGTCACTTGGCTAGAGCTAGTCAATGCTCAACATCACTGAATTTAGTGGAATCCCTCATACACAACCCACTCCAATCTCTAGCATGTACGTACCTACATGTATGTATGTATGTACCCTAGTACATGTATGTATGTATGTATGTGTATGTATGTACATGTATGTATGTATGTACCTGTGCAATGTCATCTCGGTACATGCCACGTTTGATTCTGACCCACGAACCCCTCTTGAGTGCAGCGTCGTCCTTAAACACCCTGAGAACGTCGGTCATCTCTCTGATGGGCACCATCAGCTGTTGCCACTTCCCCATGCTCAGGTTACGTATGTCCTCGATGGCCTGCTTCACGTGTTGCTGTTTGAAGGCCTCGATGTACACGTAGCCCTTGATGCCCTCCTTGGCCACCACACTCTTGATCTGTAGAGGCTGCGGGGAGATTACGAGAGATCTTCTCCGGAAGCATAGTAGCGGCCAGAGACACAAATGGGGGACGGAGAATTTGTATGTGCAGTGAGGTGTTCGTATTTCAGTGGTAAATTAAATTTTTCTTGGGGAACGAAAAGGTGGTTTTATAGGAGAAGTGTACTCATTAATTTCAGGTGTGTCCTGAGATACATAGTATTAAAATGCAACCATAGCTAGATTAGGGAGAACACCAAGCGATAGAGGGAGGGAGGGAGGGAGGGAGGGAGGGGGAGAGATGGAGAGGGAGGAGGGAGAGAGAGGGAGGAGGGAGAAGCAGGGAGGAGGGAGAAGGACGAAGGAGAGAGAGGAGAGAGCAGAGGTGGCCGTCCTACACTGTCTCCAAACTGCATCTGGATGAACTTCTTCATGAGCGTGATGACCGTCTCCTTTTCCGTCCCGATACGACACTTTACCATCCACAGGTTGGGGTCCCTGCATCACAGTAAGTTGTCATACATACACATGGGTGTGTGTAGTGACTCACTTGACTCCAGGCAGGAGGCGCTGCTGCTGAATCTCCCTCGGCTGGTTCTCCATCTCATCAATCCTACAACAAACAGAAAGATATATACACTTGAATAATATGTGAAACAACAACACTAGGTATGATGGTGTGCATGAAGGGGCCAATGTTGTTCAGCTACATACACAGTTTAATGCCTTGAGCACTACACTGGACTGGACACTCAAGTGGTGAATCTCCCTTTCAAAATTCAGTAGTGAAAACCGGAAACAATATACAGTATGAGTCAAAAAAACGTCAACTGTTTTGGGTAGAGTACAGTAGAGGAAGGGCCACGTAGGGTAAGGTAGAGAAAGGTAGGGTAAGGTACAGCTGTAAGGTGTACAATACAGACTAGGGTAGAGTAGGGTAGCTATCAGTAACCGTAAGGTAGGGTAAGGTAAAGTAGGATAGAGGTGTTGACGTTTTTTTAACTCATACTGTAAGGAGTGAATTTCCCTTTCAATCTTCACAATTCAGTAGTGAAAACCGGAAACAAAAAAAAGTATGAGTCAAAAAAACATCAACTGTTTTCATTGGGTAGAGTAGAGGAAGGGTAAGGTAGGGTAGGGTAGAGGTAGCATAGGGTAAGGCAGGGTAAGGTAGAGAAAGGTAGGGAAGGGTACAGCTGTAAGGTGTAGAATACAGGGTAGCGTGGGGTAAGGTAGGGTAGGGTAGAGGTGTTGACGTTTTTGGACTCACACTGTAAGCGAACCCTCTTAACTTATTTCCCACTATCAAGTAACGCTTTCTCTGTAATTTACATCTTGCTTCTCCTCTCCCTCCATACCTTGTACACGTACATCCAACGACTAAGACTGAAGGAGGGGTGAACCGGGACACGACTCACCCAATGGTGGGAGTGGAGGCATACTTCTTCTTGTAGTACTCTTCAATACTCTCCTCGGACTCCTCTGACCATATCCTCTTCATGTCCAGCTGCCTCTGCTTCTGCACTCACAAACAAACACGGCGGTGGAACTCTTCTCATTCAGACACCAATGGGACAGCAAGTGTATAGCGAGGTGTCCTTATTCAATGCATGCTGAGAAGTGGTGCATGAGACGGAAGCAGAAGCGGTGTCCTTTAAAACAGAGGTGTCCCTATTTTAGGGTGTCTTACAGGCCTCATTTTATTTGTGAACTGATGCAGTGCTTAGTTTAAGTTTGGGTGGGTGAAGGTGTAAAGTGAATGATAGAGAACAGTTGTGTACTTACGCTAGCATCATCTTCGTGGGAGTCGTAAGTGGCTGTGGATCATACAGTGTGGGATGGGGGAGTACAGGAGAAAAGTAACTGTTTTGAAAGACAAATCTCATGATGTATAGTAACTCACATGTTCGATTTCTCGTCTCCTTCAGCAGCGTTTCAGCTCCGGTCTCCCACTCATCCTCCTCCTCCTCCTCGTCCGTTTCCTCTGGTGTAAGTCGGGGAAAAAGGAGGCAAAAGAAAGTTGTAAGAGAATTTTCCTCGTGTACAGTATATACCTGCTTCTTCATAGATGAACTGGTTCCGTGGCTTCTTGGCCTTTTCATACTCTTCTAACAGTTCCTCTTCCTCGTCCTCTTCCTCTTCTTCCTCGTCCTGACAACAACGACACGAGACGGTGATGGATGCGCACTAAATGGAAGAAATGTATCTATGTACTCGCACTCACCCCGCTGGGAACCGACTCCTCCTCGCTGTCCGACATAGCACAGGGCTGGCTCACGGGTGATGATTGATGTAGAAACTGGTTGGAGCTTCCTAGGAAGCAGGGAGAACACAACGAGACGATGAGAAAGTCGAGCGGAACGAGAACGAGAAATTTCGTGGAACGGAACGGAGAATTCAACCGTGCCGAACTTTGTACCCTGGAAGAACAGACAATCCCCGCCAGCTGCGAAACGGCTCTCTCCAGCAACAAGCGAGAAAATGAACCCCTTTGTAAGTCAGTCCGTGAGCCAGTTCACGGCGCGGATAACACTTTCTCCGAAAACCTCCGTGTTACTTTACTACCTCCTCACTCTCCTCTCTCCTCCCATTCCTCTCCTCCTCCTCCTCCTCCTCCCCCTCCTCCCTTCTCCCTTCTCTAGCAATCAGTCTCAGGAGCTCCCTCCTTCACACCCCTCACCTCTGCAGCCACATCCGGGAGCAGTGCCTACCCTAGTACCTCGTGGGCCGAAGGCAGCGGCTCGTCACTGAAGGATCTTGTCAGTTCCCCTGTTGCTGCCACTCCCCCCTCAACCCACTCAATATTTGGCTCCGTGGGGGGCAGCGGGGGCAAAAATACCCCCGGGACAGTTGATAGAGACCAGGTATAGTATAGTGTAGTATAGGCTGACGTGTCTCTTTATAGATATGTAGAAAATACCATGTGATGCCAAGAGAAAAAAGATGGGAGCTCTGGACAGCTGTTTCGGGCTTGTTGGTCCTCATCAGCAGAGCATACCCCAACTTCTCTCTCTGGCATCACGATATGTACACGAGTGCACGTTCATTGCAACAATACTTGTGTGTACATATTGTACATATGTAGGGGTTTGCAATGACACCACAAATACAGGACACATGAAACTATATATTCACTAAACCATTATAACAGTGAAACCTCTCTGCTATGGACGGACAGGACAGTATACAGTCTGACTAAAGTGTTATGACTGATCGAAAGGTCCTTTAAAGGGGAATGTGGCAGTATTATCGTAAATTTAGAGCTCACTCATGCTCAATTTCGTGTGTTCTAAATCTCTTAGATTTCACGTTTCATCAAAACGTGAATTCTAAGTGCCTGCGGTGCTGTTACCCTGCGCAACCCGCCCACGTGTGAAATAGGGTGTGTGTCAATTAGAATTCACTCTAAATAAGGTAGGCAGCTCATCCATAAACCTACGCGCATTTCTCAGCCCTCGGGCCATTTCTCAGGCCTCGCTGCACTTGGAACGCCACAATGCAAGGTCCGTCGGGCTTCTAATGCGCGTAGAATTAACGGACTCACTGTCTAACTATTATTTTGATCATGTTACGAAAACAGTAATTGCATGCTTGCACTTGTCACAATTGTTTTAACCATCTTTCTGCCATTATTACGTAGCCACATTTTTAACCAGAGGTGTCCTTTATTTGGAGTGACCGTCGTAAGAGTTTGCACACTACAGTCAAGTCAGAGTGTGTCTGTTGTGTATCAGGTGTTCCAGTGGATCCAGGAGCTCACTAGCCCCAGCACACGAGAGCATGCCCTCATTGAGCTGAGTCGAAAGAGAGAGGTCCTCCCCGATCTGGCTCCCATGCTGTGGCACTCTTTCGGGACCATGGCGGCCCTCCTCCAGGAGATCGTCATGATCTACCCCGTCATCAACCCACCCACTCTCACCGTATGTATATTTAACCCTTGAACATCTGGTTTTGTCTCTTTGTGCCGTGTTGGCAACGAAAACAGCACCAGATTTCACACTGAAGACATGCTGCACTGTTAGATAAAAGTACGTATGCAAATAGCTGGATACCTTGCTAGACATAACGCATACGTACAACATGATACATGAACAACCATGATGATGGTATTCTTTCTTGTGCCTTGCTCTACCTGAGCCACCATGAGCACATGCCATGTACCCTCGGGCCCTGGCAAGGAGCACCACATGGTGTGGATATGTATGTGTACTGAGTAGACCTGTAAAGCTTAAAGGCCGGTCTCTTACTCCGTCTTGTGCGGTCTGCAGTGGTCCGGGAAGTAGACTACGTTTCTATTTCCAACACCCAGACTTGCGTGGTCTCAATGAGTCTTGCAAATGTAGTCAGTGTTTCCATATAGTATATACATATGTACACCTGTCCAGACCGCACAAACTTGAATCAGACACTGACTCTTTTATGCTCACTCACTCTATCTCCCTCCTCATGCCAACACATACAATCAGGCTCAACAGTCCAACAGAGTCTGCAATGCCCTGGCTCTCCTCCAGTGTGTCGCCTCTCACCCTGAAACCAGGACCACCTTCCTGAATGGTATATACACAGTATTAGACTGCAAGTCACTGTGGTCTGTTCAACTGTTCTCCCTCCCTCTTCTCTCTTCTCACCTTCCCTCTCCCTCCCTCCCTCACCCTCCCTCCCTCCCTTCCTTACTCTTTCCCCTGTCTCCCTGTCTCTCTCCCTCACTTCCTCTAGCTCACATCCCTCTCTTCCTCTACCCGTTCCTTCACACTGTCAGTAAATCTCGACCGTTTGAATACCTTCGGCTCACAAGTCTCGGTGTAGTTGGTGCACTAGTAAAGGTACACACAGTGTAGCTCTCATCCAGACACCATGGGACAGAGAAGTGTGTCCATATCAATGAGATGGTGCCCTTATTCAGTGGAACCCATCTCTAAGGACACCTCGTTTATAAGGACACCCCTCTTAATAAGGACACCTTTCTCTCCCCAAGTAAGATTCTTGCATGCAATTCAATCCCTGAAATAAGGACACTTTGCAACTGTAGACACTTTCTTCTCTCCCACTATAGTTTCCTTAGAGAGGGGTTCCACTATACAAACACACACACGACTATTTCCTAAAGACTAGTCACAAATTCTACTAAATATGGAAGTGGTTTGAAGCCCTTGTGTGTATATATATATACACGTTGTTATAGTGTGCTGTATGCATGTCATTCTCTCTCTCTACCTAGCTAGTTGCCATGTACATATGTTTCATGTAGACTGATGAACAAGACGTCATCAATTTCCTACTAACGACGGAGATTATCCCGCTCTGCCTCCGGATCATGGAGTCAGGGAGCGAGCTCTCAAAGACGGTGGCAACGTTCATCTTGCAGAAGATACTGCTGGACGAGACCGGACTGTCGTACATCTGCCAGACCTTCGAGAGATTCTCTCACGTCTCAACTGTTCTGGTGCGTTGTATGTGTGCTTTAAATAGAATGATGTGTCAAAGTAGGTTGTAGTAGTAATGCAATTGAGTTTCTGTTTTTAGTAACAGTTTCTAAATTTAGTACTTATATACTGCCACATTGCTTTTTAAGGAAAGTATGATGTATTTTACATTTAGCCGATTCTCCTTACTCCAAATCACCTGCATGCATTATTCTCCTTATGTGCTCATCCAACAACGTGGTACCATAGCCTTAAAATAATTTTTCATACCTGTTGATTTTGTGCATTGGGGTATGGGTGATCTTGTTATACACACAACACCGTTCTTTATAACAACTTGTCTGTTGCATGTTGTGGGCCGATTAGATCGGCCTAACCAATAGGATATAATGGACTAAAGAAAGGGGAAAAAGTGGCACCAGTGGGATTCGAACCCACTAGATTGTGTTACAAATGCAGTTCACTCTACGACATGATGCACTAGGCCAACCTTAATGCCCTTTGGGCGCCATATGTAGGTGTCTCCTTAAATAAGCAGAAATTGATGTATAACATATTAGCGCCTAGTATTATAGCCATATATAAATTCTTATGCACTTATGGAGGCTCTGTGCATATATATATGTAAATGGCGCCCAAAGGGTTTTAATTAATGCTGAAGCGACTCTGTTTCACAACAGACACTGAGCTGCTTATCACACACAATACAATGCTATATGTAACCCTTCTATCATTCGGTACACACATTATATACCCCACAGTCGAAAATGGTGCAGACCCTGTCCAACGAACCCTCGTCAAGACTTCTGAAACATGTCGTCAGGTGCTACCTCCGTCTCTCTGACAACCCAAGGTAATGACTGGGGTGGAGGCGCGACTCCGCAGAAAAGTTGGTTACTCTATGCTGTACAAAATGGTCCTGTCCACCACCCCCTCTCTGACAATCCTAGTTGGCGAGTACCTTGTCATCTGAATTTCACCAACTGCGCCACGACAATACACATGCGTGAACATCACGCAGAGCAGTTCAAAGGTCGCTTCGTTCACCAAGAATGCGTTGCATGCGTACTTGTAGAGAAGTAATTGTTCAGCAGCAACAAAAACGTCTAGGTTTCTTTTCAATGGTCCTGCCTAAATTTTGCAGAGAAAATTTTTTGGAATGCCTCTCAAACTGCAAAAATATTCTCCTTTGATGCTACCTACGATACGCTACTTGACTATTAGGAATACCATCTACAAAAGAAGCATAATATTTGGTACGCACAGCTCCATGCATACAAAGTTCCACTACACCTACCAGTGTACCGCAACGCATAACATGAGTGTGATGAGTGCCATGTATGTGAACATGAAGGTATTAGACCATGTGATGCCAAGAGAAAAAAGATGCTCTGGACATGAAAAAACACCCACCCAAGCACACAAAACACAGACAATAACATACCCAAGCATACAAAAACACAGACAATAACAGAAAGAAAGAGGCAGGACCCCGGGTGCCCAGCCTTGAGAACCGGGGCGTTAGGTTAAAGAGTCTTTTACATGTACATGTCTTGACTCCCTCCCGTGCAGGGCTAAAGAGGCCCTCCGACAGTGTCTACCTGTCCAGCTACAAGACGCCACGTTCTCCTCAGTCCTCAAGGAAGACGGGACCACCAAGAAATGGCTCCTCCAGCTCCTCTCCAGCCTGGGACTGGAGCTGCCCCCAACCTCTTCACCCACCATCACCTCCTCCTCCTCCACCTTCACTGACAACAGACCTCACCCCTCCCCCAATGTCCATATATCACAGTGACCGTCATGATGTAATGATTACTTCGTGATGATGTCATAGTGATGTAATCACACACTCTGTTGCCACAGTAATGGGCCATACATACATCAGCATGCACACCACCAGTTGCTGGATTCACCACACACTAACAACATCCACCATTATAATTACATGATAGATCACATTCACAGCATGCCATGAATAGCTTTATTAGACGGCAGGTGCAATATAATTATTTTCTATCATGAATCCCTGTTTATAATTATGTACCATGTGAACTACGAGGTAGAGGCACAACAACAAATCAACTATATATATATACACCCAGGACAAAGAAGAACCGCCCTGGGTGGGATTTGAACCCATGACACCCTGCAGTCTGCACGGGAGATCGTGGAGTGCACAAGTGAAATGAATGTGACAATGACCAAAAGGCATGCAATTGTATTTGCGATACTGTAACAACACTTACGATTGATGCGTCTGAACTTGCATCTACTATAATACCTATACATCTTTGTACGTACGTATGTATGTATATATAATCAGTCCTCTGGATTATAATCGGACTCTGTGCACAACACTGCACGTGGCAGGGCGCCTCTTTTTCACTGCACTTTTCTACTAAATGACAACACATGCATGCATCGCATTTATTGGGGGAGAGTGTGGGAACACGAGCGCAAAATTTCAGTGGTTTTTTTACGCTTATTTAGAATGCATGTGGCCTCTTTTTCGCTGCGCTTTTCTACTAGAAACAACACATGCATCGCAGCATTGGCGAGAGTGTGGGAACACGAGTGCAAAATTTACGCTTATTTAGAATGCATGTGTGGTACAATGGACAGTTTGGTCTGCAAACACAATAATAATAATAATAACGCAGTTCAGACAACTGAGTGGACTCCGCTCACCAATTAGACTATAATAATGGTAAAGCTATGTCAAAGGTATACACATTTTTTCTGACCAGCCAGTTGCTGATATCAGCAGAGAAAAAAGTCAAGATTATATAAATCATTCGAACAAATGCAACACGTTTTTAGCGAGCAAATGTGCGTCACATGCACAAATTAGCATAATTTCTATTCCACTTTCGACTACGTACAACAACATGACAGTGTGTGCAACAGTGCCCTCCTAATTGTCGGATACGTAAAACCACGCATTACGACGACTACATATGTAGGTTCATTTCACGCGCCAATTACAACGCCAGACCCGCAGCAAAAATAATTTGTGTAACAAGTGCACGAGCAACTTATAATTACTAAAACAACACAAGAATAATGCACAGTTGAGGCAAAATAATACGTATATGCATAGTACAAACACATTGGCCTTAATTTGGATAATGAAATAATAACGTGCGAGCTGTAACAATAATAAGGAAGAAATAACCTAACAGCTTTCGTATGTGATGGACAGCACACGTGTAGTCAGTTGTGTGTGTGTGTGAAAGTTAATTGCTATTAACAGAGAGATAATAAACAAATATGTTAGCTATGATAAGTTCTAACGGGTCACTTTTTGTTCTTGTGATTTGAGGTGAGCCATGTTAACCCCTCGTAGAGACCGTCTCCGCTGGTTGCACACGATGGCTGGACGTACCACTGCCGTTCCCTCAGTTTTGTCATGTGTAGGCTCTCTTGTACCTCCTGTGGCTTCATAGCTGTGTGTGTGTGTGTGTGTGTGTGGATTGAGTGAGTGATTGTGTGTGTGTGTGTTGTGTGTGTGTGCATGCCATGTTTGTGTGTGGAGAAAGGAGCGGAAGGAAACCCAGTATAAGAGCAATATTAGGCGGAATAGGGGAAGCGAGAGGGTAAAGAGAGGAAGGGGCGAAGTGAAGTGGAAGGAAGGAAAAGGGAGGGAGAGAAGGAGAGGGAGGGAGGGAGGGTAAAAGACAGGGAAAAGGAGAAGGAAGGACAGAAGGTGATGTAGCAGTGGAGACATATATATGTTGCAGTGCCCAGACAGGACAGCATGAGCCGTGTAAGGGCGAATGCTGTCCTGTCTGGGTACTGCAACAGATTTGTTGGATATCCCTAGGCAAACGACATGTATGAACCCTGCTTGCACATGTAGGATTGTATAGGCTGATAAAACCCCCCAGTACCTAGCTTCATACATGTCGGTTGCCTAGGGATATCAAACAAGTAGCAATACAGGAAGACTACAGTACAGTGTGCAGGCATGTGTGTGTCCATTTTATTGTCTTGTGAAACATTATGTGAGAGGGCGGCCCAGACTGTGAATATCATCACTAAAACTCCACCCAGTGTTCTTCAGACAGCCCTAAAGCTCTTGCGCCATAACACTCCAACAAATTCATCGGAACCGAGCATGCATTCTAGCACATTCTCTCCTAAGAGACCATTTAGTGAGGGGGCAAAGGCAAGTGGAAATGTGGGACAATACAGTATAAAGCCATGGGTAGGCTTGGAACCCACGACACTGATCTCTCTCTATTACTATATAGCAGAAGGCCCTTCCAAGACATGTATAATATACAATATACAAGCTCAGCAGGCAGAATGCATTAGGAATTAGCAGTTACTTAATTATATGCACAACAACGGAACAAATTGAGCCCACTGTCGGTAAATTGTAGCCGCTTTTGGTCGGGCACATTCATGTGTTGCATGTTTTGCTACACACGAGAGCTGGCTGGGCCCGCGTGTCTCTCACTAGCACACAGCGATTGAACTACCCATTAGTAGTCCTCCGTCAAAAGGGAGACATTTAATCAGGTGCTGTTTGCATCCAAACATACGCAGTTCAAATGTCGTATGGCTGTGGTAGCTAGCCAAGGGTGTGTGATAACTCACCATCTGGAAGATCTTGCTTGTTGGCGAAAATTAAGATTATGGCATCTTTCATTTCTCTATCGTTGACGATACGATGTAATTCTTGCCGTGCCTCTTCCATTCGATCTCGATCGGCGCAGTCCACTACAAATATAAGGCCCTGTGTTCCAGTGTAGTAATGTCTCCATAGAGGACGTATCTTGTCTTGGCCGCCGACATCCTGGGGGGAGGGAGGGCGGGAAGGTGAGAGAAAGAGGGGGAGGGAGGGAGGGAGGGATGGAGGGAGGGAGGGAAGGAGAGAGGGAGGGAGGGAGGGTGAGAGAGAGGGAGGGGAGGGGGAAAGGGAGGGAGAGAGAGATGGAGGGAAGGAGAGAGGGAGGGAGGGATTGTGGGAGGGGGAAAAGGGAGGGAGAAGGAAGAAGTGTTTAGCCTTTTTGTCTGCAGATGAAGTGGATTTGGCGGGTGCTGTGTTTGTGTAGGTACGAGGATGCAGAGTGTGCGTGTGCGTACAATGGCATCTGTGTCTATAGTTAACTGAGTGTGTGTTTGTGTCTTGACGGCCAAGAGACTCTTTACCAGGGTAGAATCCACAAAAGTGGCAGGCCAAAACACCTACATTTTAATTACGAAGCACCGAGTCTTTTCTTTGTCACTTTTCTTTTTCTTCATTTCTCTACATTCACCATTTCAGTTCTCCCTCCCTCTCTCTTTCCCTCCCTCTATTTCCCTCCCTCCCTCCTCTCTCCTCTCTTCTCTCTCCCTCCCTGCAGCCTATGACTAACATACTCCAATTACTAGTCTCTCTCCCTCTCCCCCCCCTCCCTCCCTCTCTCTTCCCTGCAGCTTATCCACTAATATTCCAATCTCTAAATGCACTTGTTCTACCCCTTCAATTACACTTGATTCCCCGATATATACAAACAGTACAGGTGTAACTACACATGTTTAGCAAGCATGGACCAAAAAAGGGCTGTGCGTTGCTTCAGTTGTACTACAAAACTATGGGTCACAGTCTTGAACATCAATTTCTCGTACACAATGCTTACTCTTTCATTTTACAGCGTTTGCATCGTTTTGTTGGGACACCTCAATATGATCAAAAGTTAAAAGTCCCATTGAACCTCAATTGTAGGCCAACTGGCTGAGCAATTCCCCAAAGCTACTAAAACAAACACTCTGTGGCTGCATGTGTTGATTCAACGACGACAAGACACTCACTCACCCAGACGTTGAACTTGACGTTCTTGTACGTGACGGTCTCCACGTTGAAGCCCACCGTGGGGATGGTGGTCACACTCTGACCCAGTTTTAGCTTGTACAAGATGGCTGTGGGGAACAGCGGGTCAAGGAACGGTACACCTTCTTTTCTCTAGTTCTACGGTACACACCTTAACTTCACATTGTACGTATGTAGGAAGTATAATTGTATAATGCCTAATAAATGGAAAACATTAAGGGAGAGAACATTCTGTACGCCATATCCCCACAGGTAAAAAAATCACACTATAAAAAGTCTTTCATGCGTGTCCTATAGTCTAGGGAAAGCCGAGAAGAGTCTTATATATGCACAGGATCATTTATTGTGTGTCTTACAACAAGTGGAATGAACTGTTGTGCGATTCAAAGCATAACTCGCGGCAAACTTTGCAGGCCAGCTACATACATACATACATAAATATGCATCTTCTGCACCGGTATATTAACAGCGTCATTTAAGGAACGGAAAGTGTGTGTACGTGTAGTTTGTTGTTAGTGCTCATTATGTATGTGTACATCAGCTGCTGACACGAGGAAAAGTGGCCTGTTTGTACAGTATGCGACACTCTATATACGCCGAGCTTACACGGATACAAATCCGGATACAGATCCGGAGGCGTGGCAGGTGTACAACGCTCAGAGAGTTACGTACTACAAAGCTGGATGGATGTGTTGCAAGTCGCTCTACTCCGCGAGGATTGTGCAAGTATGAGTAGAAAATAAAGTATGCCCTACGTGTTGTTCAGCTACATACATATGAGCTAAACCAAACCCACTTCTAATCCACCTTCTGGAGTAGGATTAGATCATGATCCTGACTGCACTACTCAGGATTAGAACTAATCCGGGTTACGATCCGGATCAAGGCATTGTGTAAACTCGGCCATAGAGTGTGTGATAGAGTACATACATTCTACAACATCCACCCTCCGGCAGCTTTCCTCAAAGTGTAGGAAGTGAAAACTTACTGCTGTTTGTCCAGACATGAACTCACCCGACCACAATGACACACACACACACACACACACCAGGCACACCTGTAAAGCCATGCAGCCACCACCACAACGAACACAAACCACAGATACCCCAGTTATTTCTAGTAAACTTCTGTAATCCCCAGTAATTCCTAGTAATCCTCTGTAATCTCCAGTTATTTATGGAAGGATACTGGTCTTCCCGGCAGCGTCGAGCCCCAACATGAGTATCCTCATGTCCTTCTTCCCAAAGAGTTTCGCGAATGCCTTCCCCATTGTCCCGTCTCTCTTTCTCTTTCTCTAGTGTGGTTGTGGTGACTTCACACGTCACTCCAAAACAGTCGAGTCCTCTCTGATCTTGTGTTTGCCTGCGTATGTACCCCTGTTACTGTAGTTGCGTAGGTACAAACTTTGTACTATGATCTGCAAGAGAGAAAATGAAATATCCAACAGTGGCAGGCAAGGTTAACAAACCATATAATTTTACCTGTACGTACATGCATCTTATGCCAGCTACGTGGCGTTAAATTGTTATACAAAATTCAGCCTCAATTCCTCCATCAAAAAAAGGGACATCGTCACATTAGCGTACCCCTCATTTGCACTATGAATTGCATTATGCACAGTTATGCACATCACTACACACAAAATAGTGAGACATACATACATACATGTGTAGTACAAAGTAGACGTCATTGTTTCACTATCACGGTCCTGGGCCCCACCCTTGGCCTGCATACACCTGGCTTCTCTCTAATTAAAACCCACCAAATCAAAGGGGGCGTGGCAAAAACATTGTCAAATTTGGTTCCAGGGCACCACTATTGCAGTATGCCCACACATTGAGAAGCAGGTCAAGAGCAGAGCGTTCCCACAAGTGACTACATTGTCACTCATGCCCCACGACACGGGTTTGTTGTATAGGGAAGTACAATGGTGAATGGAAGCTCAGCTGTAGTCGGTACAATGAGCTCTCCAGGCGCATGAATTGCACCTCGTACCGAGAATTTCCACACACCACCGCCTCAGCTACAGGTGTCTGTCGCCTTGTTTGCCATGAAAACAAGATCAAAGAGGCAGCACCTAGTATAGTCCAGATTAGTCTCCATGCAAAAGCAAGATGAAAAGCCACGGCCCTTTGCACTGACCATGCTGTGATTGGTCTTACGTACAGGTTGAAAGGCTGGGTGAGAGGGCGGTGGAAGGAGGCCTGTCAGGATGCATACCGCCGTTACCATCTTTTCCGACGTGGGAATTTCATAATGGCCGGTCACACCCAGAAATACAACACCTACTCAACAATCACCCACGGTTGGCTGTACCACACCTAAAGGCGCCTGTCTCACTGCAGACTGCGTGCTCTGGTACGCCGGCTTGATAGTGGGTTGAGACAACGGCAAGGCAAGGCACCAGACCCGTGGGGCGACGACGAAAAGAGCCATGAAAAACACTAGCAACTTTGCACCCGGTTATCCCAACACAGCTAAGCTCGTCAAGCCCTCACAGACTAACACACAACACACTAATCGCTCACCTTCGACTCTAAGCTTGATCTCTCTTGCCAAAGTTATCCCACGTCTGGTTCCCCGGCTTTTCGAACGTCGTGGCAAGCACGGAAGCCGGAATGCGCGGTAAATATAGCGTTACTATATATAGTAACGGCGGCCACGCCATTTTCGAAACGTCATAAGCGCTACGTTCTTTGTTGTTCCTCAGCCAACCGCAACATCCTGTTGGTTGCCATGCTCACCACACAAAAGGAACCCATACCCACATAAACCACTCAGGTCAAGTGCCGCCTCTCTGGGCTGAGGACCGATGGAGGAGGGGCAGGGTATATGAACGTATGTGGGAGATAAACTTTCTCCATTCCTTCCAATTTGACTACTGTCAGAATATTCTTGGGTGTTCACTCGACTATAGAAACCGACCACGAGATTGTGTGAAATACTAGTGGGCATGCATTCTTTTTCTGGAAACCATTGGTTTAAAGTATATATATACAACCCTCCTGGCCTGTGTTCTTACGCCACTCTTGAGGTTTTTAAAACAACCATTGTGAGTGACAGAAAATTCATAACAACAAAAGAGAAGAGGCATACATTATAACAGCTGAGAGTGTGAGTCTATGGGTGTAGTTATTATAGAGGGTGAGTCTATGGTTGTAGGCCACTCTACTAAGGGTGAGAGGGCCTGGGAGGTTTCCCTCCAGATAGGTTGGGGGGAGGGGCCATTCGCATGTCCTGACGGAAGTGAAACTGGAGGAAGAACTGCTTAGTGTCATGGTTCCAATCCACCCAGAACTTTTCCTCCGACTTGTCCACTTCTCGACTTGGAATCTGGGCCGAAAATAACCGGAAATTTTGGTGGTTAGCACTTCCATTAAAAATCTGTTTCAAGGAAATGTGGAGACCAGCTTGCATCTGGGAGTAATAGCTTAGTGCTTGGGGCACTGAATTGTCCAACTCCAGGCCTGAGTTTGACTCCCGACAGAAGTTGATATCCGTATTCTCCCCCCCCCTCTCTCTCTCTCTCAACCTTAGACAACAACTATAACCAGGTCAACCAAGAAACAAAGTAGCAGTCTAAACTTAGAAGCTGTTACTAAAAACTGAAACCTTTCGCTGGGCGCTATGGATCTTTAGTAAATTGTACCTCTCATGTACTGTCGCATTCCCTTTAGTTTTGCAGACAAATTAATGTCTAAATTTGAAATTACCTAATCTTAAATGGCTGGAAAGTGTAAGAGCTGATATGATAGAGTGAAAGAGTGTTGTTAGATACCAGACGTACCTTGAAAGCAATGGTTTCATAAGGTTCGGCAGCAAACAGGAGGTACTGCCACTGTCTGTCGGGAGGCTCGACCCTCTGCTCGTAGGCCGACATGAACCTGTGACGAGGTCTCACCCCCTCCACTATCTCCGGATAGTCAATCTACATACATATAACATAGCAAGGACCAGCAGTCAGAGGGAACCTTTGAGGGACAAATTTTGCAACAAAATCAACACAAAATTTATTTAAAAAATTGACTCTCCCACCATCTTATATATTATAGCACTATGACTCCAATTCTTTCCCCGGTTCAGCATCTTTGCGTCTAAAACCACAATATTTTGAACTCTTGAAGTCTTCAGCAGGGCAAACAAACATTGAGCAATGCAAAAGTCGAAACCTAATACATTTGGGAGCATTTGGACCATGTTATGCTGCAGAGTGTCGTGGATTCGAACCAACTCAGGGCAGTTGTTATTTACTGGGAAAAAGAATAAATAGTCCATGGTTTTGCCTTTGACTTGCAACCTCCCCAATGTTTAAATGCATGCTGGGTAGGGAACACTTAGTAGTGTGCGAATGCATGAAGGTTATGTTTTCAAGTGTGACCAAGATCTTAAAAAAACATCATTGCGCATAGAAGCAACCCATAATCCTGACGCATGTGCAGTACTTCCGGACATAAAAGGAAAAACGCTTCACTCAGACGACAAGGTTAGCTCGCGCACCAACTGCATGTACACATATGTATATATACACCTGGAAGAAAAGACTGTGCTGTGCTGTGTCTGGGTCTCTCTGCTTCGTAACTACAGTCAGAGGAGAAAAGAGGGAACTACTCTTTACTCTAAGAAAAAAAATGTCTGCTCACCCTTGTATCCAGGTCTACCGATCTTGACAAACCTCTTCACGTCCACTCTGGGTTTCTCCTGCATGTTATAGTGACCAACCACGCACACAATAAGAGTGTATCAGCACACCGCTGCAACGTGGACTCACAAGTGCTGGTAGGATCTGTGAATCCTTGGCCTCTTTCGCTGCTCTCTGAGCTCTGTTTACGATGCGGAAAATTCATTGAGGTAGGGGTATATACAACAGTACAGTAGCTAGATGTAACGTACAGATTAGACTGATGTTTCTTTCCTTGTGTATGCACCAGATAGCTTCCCTGTGCGTGTATAGACACAGGTGAGGGTGAAAGTAAACGACACTGAGGCTGTTCCACAAATCTGACCTACTAGCTAGCTTGAATGGACCACACCATCCATACCTCTGTGTTATGGAGAGTCAGACATAGCTTGCATTCGTAGGTGCCGAGGTGGTTTCGCATGAAGTAGGGGTCCTGTACGAGAAAGGTCATGCGAGTGTGAGGCTCGAGGAAGGCTGGCCAACCTTGCCCAGGTCGATAGTCTCCAAGGCAAGCTTTCTCAGCCGTTCCTTGCGGTCTCTGTTGCTCTCAGACCATCCAGCCGCGCCTCCGCCGCCCTGTCTTGGAGCCCACTCTGTTTTGAAAGTCCATCTTTCTCCCGTGTGATGGTGCTGCTTTGGGTGCGCTTGAAGAGAAGTGCGCGGTATTTAGAAACAATTCGGCGCGTGTCAGTTATGCGCATGCGCCTATATTCAATCGAGTTCTGTTCCGCGCCGTATCGCCACGTTCCATACGGGGGCGGTTTGGCTGAAGAGTGTGTCTGTACCCGGCTAGAGAAAAGAAAGTCGATGGAAACTGGGCCGTTATCCTGTACAGGGGAAGCGAAAAGTAGCAGAAAACGGCGCCCGAGGAGCGGGAGATGCACTAGCTCCCTTTTCAGGGCTGAAGACGTCCGATATCGAGATCACAGTTGAGATACGACACTCATAGGCACCAAAAAACGCTGCAGGGAGTAGGAGCCACTCGGCAGTACATGGTCTTAGGCGAGAAGGATTTCGCCAGCTAAAGGTAGGTATAGCTACACCAGTCTGCAAAAGTGAATGCCAACGGTTTTCGAGTAGGGGCTACACGTGGTGATATGCCTTCGCACCGTTGCAGAAAATGCCTCACAGTGGATGGTTCGGGAGGCGGCTGTTTCGTCTCATAGCGTGTTCCCGTGCCAAAGCCAAGGGCATCAAGATCACCAGAAGAGACTTGAAGATTTTCATCCCTGCCTTTCTAGCCCTGGTTAGTCCAAGCTTGGTTGGCATGGCATGGACCTTGGCCAGCTGACAGCTGTTATTGTCCTGTGCATGAACAAACATGGAATACTACAGTGGAACCTCTTATAATGGACACTCTATAAAAGACACTTTTCCGATCCAGTACTAACGTCTTAAGAACACCTATTTGTATACAATCTTCTGTGTCCTTTATACGCAGGTTCCACTCTATGTATACACAGAACTATGTACCTTGTCTTTGTGTTGGAACCTAATATTGCGTGGTTCCTTGTCTTGTTGTGCCGGCATGTATACATCATGCTTCTCTCATTACGTGTGTGTGGGAGTATGTACAACATATCTAGACGTACAGTGGGGTCTCATTATAAAGAACACCCTTAGTACGAAATTCTTGATACTACAAACACACCCTCGGAGCCTAGCCCTATAGAACACTATACATTTCGCCACACAAATTCCCCTTACTGTGAACAAATTCTTTAGGTCCCCAGCAATTCATTGTAAGGAGACTCCACTGTATATACTATATATATACACACTGTTGCAGTTCTCCAGTGCATACTCCATCACAATGCTGTTTCCATTCCTGCCATTCATGGTCCAGTTCCTACTGCCTCAGGTAGAGGAGGAGAACATCGGTATGTCGTAAGTACATGACAAATCACGCTTGACTTACTTACTGTAAAAGAGGAGTGCGAAGGCTTTTGAAGCCCCACTTTTATCTATAACGACAAAAGACAACATACAAATAGGTTTTTATGGGTAAACCATACCATGATCACTTTTGCTAATGTTTTCTCTTAATTTTTTAGCCCATTGATATGGAACTCGCTGTACATACATACATACACATACTTGTTGGATATCCCTAAGCAACCGACATGTATGAAGCTACATACTGGGGAGTTTTATGAGCATATACACTATCCTGCACAATGTAAGGTGGGTTCATACATGTCGCTTACTAGGGATGTCCAACAAATATATTGCAGTGCCCTGACAGGGCTCATGCTGTCCTGTCTGGGCACTGCAATATATACATGTATATACATATACATGCATACATAATGTAGTTCCCTCATGTTTAATGTGCTCCAGGAAAATATGCTGGATTCATTGCATCATCCATGTTCCTGGGACGTTTCTTTGGAAGGTATATACACCTGCCAACTCAGTATGTGTGTGGATGTGGCCTGTATTGTCGTTATTAACCCTCGGCGCACATGCGCAGTGAGGGTTACTGTAGTTGTCGTGTATGTCTGTCTGTCTGTTACCCGACACCTCACTTCACGAGCAATTAATCCCTCCACAAACAATACCACGTATTCAGGATCGAGTATAGGTCGAAATGTATGTAGGGTTTTCTCTGAAACTGCTGCATTCGAGAGTTATGGCGTGTGAACCAAGTGAACGAGCCAATATGCGGGCTTACCTCGAGATGCGCTTGCTCTAGCCAATATGCAAAATTATGCACAGCGAAAGATGTGCCTCACTTGGTAGCATGCTTACCTTGTCTGCAGCCTTTCACAGAAGGCTGTGTATATGTACAGGCGGTCTTCCTCAACTTTGCTTTGACATGGAACCCTTCTCTACGTGTCTCCGCCGAGGGTTTGCACTTTAGTCCTTTTCATTGGGTTTTAAGTTACCTGGCTTAATGAAGTGGGTTTTGGTCTTTTGCCTTGGTCATTTATTAACAACCATCTTCCCTTTTTCTTCTTCTCTCTCTCTCTCTCTCTCTCTCTCTCTCTGTCCTCATCTCCTTCTCTCCCTCTCTCCCTCCCTCCCTCCCTTTCCCACTCCACACACACACACCCACACACACCCAGCTATACATGGGGGGCCCTAGCAGACAAGAAGGGCCGTAAGCCGGTGGTGATAACAAGCTGTGTTCTGATTGGCCTCTCCTCTGCTGCTTTTGGTTTCAGTGTCCAGATCTACATGGCCGTCGTCTTCAGATTCTTTGTTGGTCTGTTCTATGGTGAGACACTTGTTCTAAGGATGGGCATCCCGGAGCCAATTGTGCCTCTCAGAGAAGCTCTGACTGTGGCTCTAACACCGGTTCTGTACTCTAGCTAATAGAACTGTTTGTCAGTATAATGGTTTAACCGGGGTCTGTGGTGTGCAGACCATCATGTTGCAATACTGATCGAAATACCTCTACCGTTATATTGTATATACCCATGCCTGTATGTTCAGTACACATTATTGAGTTTGTACGGAGACTGGTCTTCAGTACATATACCAGACTGGACTGAGTCCCCACTATGCAAAAGTTGGGTGTTTTTTGACGTATGTATGTAGCTTCACTTACTCCCTGCTTGTGACTATTGTTGGCTTTTAGTGAGTAGCTACTGTAACTAGCCCGTGTCAGACTCTCAGCGAGCTACTAGCGGGGGACCACGAGTTAACGCATACTATAATAGCCCAACCCATCAATTAGCGCTACCGCGCATGCGCAGTTCGCCAAGGGTTTGCACTTTAGTGCTTTTCATTTTGCAAAATACTTGCATGCAGTTCAGCTCTTTTCACGTGATAATACAATTTTACCATTACAAAAACACATGTACACACAGGTGTGGCAGGTACGGTGAAGGCTATCATATCGGAGTCCACAACCAACCAATCCCAGGCCCTGGGCATGTCTCTTATCATCTGTGCACACAGTCTGGGCCTGATCCTGGGTCCTGCCATCTCTGGGGGCTCTAGCTGACCCCATCGGTCAGTACCACCTCAATATATCAGGTGAGTAAAGTGGGGATCCCTTTAATTAAGACACCAATGGGATAGAAGAAGCCTCCATATTATCATGCAAGAACTTATTGTAACAATGTTGATAACCTGTGGTATTCTTCAGGCAGTAAAATATTTTTCATGTAACGAGAGTGGAGTCCTCTTTTCGGTATCTCTCAGTGTTCATGCTGTTTGGTACACAGATGCGGTGGTTCGGGAGTTCCTGACGCGGTTCCCGTACAGTCTCCCATGTCTGGTGAACCTCCTCCTCTCTCTCCTGGCCGGCACCGTGGTGGCCGTCTGGATGCCCGAGACACTCTGCTCAAAGACGTGAGGATGGAAGTTGTTCTGTGGCATAGAATCTCTGTATATAGCACACACACACTTCAAAACAGTTGTAGAAACAGTGCCAATTAGGTGCGTATATACAAAGCTACGGTTTGTTCCACAACACCTCATAGTAAGGGAGGCAACATTGAGTACAACATAGAAAGTAGAAGCACATGCAATTCAGACAACTACATATAGGCAGGCTGGCTCACCAATAACAACGTAGCAAACTGGAACTTGTCGGTGCATAGATATTTTTGTGATCCCATGTGTGAACTCTAACGTGTCTCTGTCTCACCCACCTCTACCAGGTCAAAGGAGTCAAGATCAGGTGGTAGTGATGCCGGTAGCAGTGTGTCAGAAGATCAGCAGCAGTTACTGGAACTCTCAGAGAGAGAATCATCATCAAACACCCAGCTCAACGAGACTGCACCTAGTCCAGAGAACTCCACAGCAGAACTCCTGGAAACCGAGACTATAAATACTGCGACCAATGATGGCAGTTTCGTATTAGTCAGTTCTGAGGGAAAGAGTAGTGGGCTCCAATTGGAAGAGGAGTCCAGTGGTGAGCAGAGAAGTACAGAGTCTCCTGTGACTCCACGGATGAGTGGGAAGAAGGAGCTCTCTCGTACCGTTCTTCAACCGCCGCTCAAGTTTCACTCCCTCGTATTTTAAACCTCTGCGGCTTCCAGCGAGGAAGAGCAGTGGTAGTGGTACTAGTGCAAAGAGATACAGTTCGCTACATACCAGCCGACAGCGCCTCGTGTTTGAGGAACAAGAGGAAGAGGAAAAAGAGGAGGAAGAAGACCAGCAAGTTGAGGGAGGGAGGGGAGAGGAGAGGGAAGGAGTGAGGGAGGAGGGGGAGAGGGACGAACGAAGGAAGGTAAGTGGAGAGGAGCCCACCACCCTGGTTCAAAGGGTAGGCCAAAGTTTCAAGAGGACTCTGCAAAACCTGAAGCTCTTTCTCACGTGAGTGGATACCAGGGTGCATACAGTTTAACGATGTGCACTGGCAGGGACCACCATATATACATGTCTGCTACTCTGATTGAGGGTATTAAAACGGAAAAAAATAAAAATGGATGCTGGCGGTGATAATTAACCCTCAGCGCGCATGCACAGCGAGGGTTACGTAGTCGTTCTGTCTCTGTAGCTGTCTGTGTGTGTGTGTGTGTGTCGACGCTTATTCTGGCACTACAGGCTACGAGGCAGCCCGTTAGCGATACCAGCGGATTCAGAACTACAGGAGCCTGAAAAGTAATTAGGCGATTTTCCTGAAACGACTTCGTTCGAGAGATATGCCGTGAAAATGAAAAGCACTGAAGTGCAAACCCTCGGCGAACTGCGCATGAGCGGTATCGCTAATAGCTGGCTGGGCTATTGGCGGTCTCCCGCTAATAGCTCGCGGAGAATCTGACACGGGCTAGCTACGGTAGTAGATAGCATGCGGGAGTCGATACACGCCCTTCGCTGTGGCTTCTTGTGCCTCCAAGGTACACAGAGCAAGCGGATCAGGTCTAGGTGGAGCCAGCATGCATGCATATAATACCGCGTTGGATCGCGTCTATACGCATGCGTACCGCTTAATGATGGGTTGGGCCACGGAAGTCGGTCCGCGACCATGCCAGTTTGTCGCTCTCGAACGCAGTCGTTTCAGGAAAATCGCCTAATAATTTTTCTGTTTCGCGTAGTTCTGCAGCCGTTGGTATCACTCATTAGCCACCTCGTGGCCTGTAGTGCCAGAATAAGCGTCGACACACACACACACACACACACACACACACAGACAGACAAACCAACTACCGTAACCCTCGCTGCGCATGCACGCCGAGGGTTAACAAGCGAAAAAGCCAAATCGCACCGCGACCTGATCCGCTTGCTCTGTGTACCTTGGGGGCTCAGGAAGTCACAACCAATGGCATGTCATTCTATCTACTACTGTAGCTAGCCCGTGTCTGACTCTCCGCGGGCTACTAGCGGAAGACCACGAGTAAACGCAAATAGCCGGCCCAGCCCATCAATTAGCAGTATCGCGCATGCGCAGTTTGCCGAGGGTTTGCACTTTAGTGCTTTTCATTGTATAGGGTACTGTCTGGTTCTCCCATACTAATACATTAGTATACATACTACTAGAAATGCGCACGCGCATATCTTGCCTCGCGCCTGCCAGCCAATGCGTGCGTAAACAGTCCGCTGAGACCGCTCGTTAGCACGCTCTACTGACTGCGCGCGAAGCCACACTTCCTACGAATCTGCGCGCGCGCACGGCGACTTCTTACGAATGACGGAAGTTGACATTCCTAAGCGTGACTAATTGACATTCCCTAAGCGTGACTAATTGACATTCCCAATTGACATTCCACAAGCGTGACTAATTGACATTCTTAAGCGGGACCGACACGTACGTACGCATATCGCGAGAATACAACCCGGAGTAGTAGCGTCGCGCTAATGCACTCGGCAACAAAACAAATGCTCTTCCCACCTCACCCCACGATCTCTCTCTCTCTCTCTCTCTCTCTGTGTTTGCTGCAGGAGTCGAGGCACACTGCTGTCAGTGATGATCTACTGCACCTTCTCCTTTGCCATGATTGGGTTTGACGAGGTCTTCTCATTATGGGCTGCAGCTGCTTCAAGTCTAGGTACATGGGTCAGCAGCACACACCGAGGGACATGAGGACACCCCTGACATTAGGACACCTCACTAATCAGGAAACATTTTCTTTCCCCGATAACGGTTATATACTTGCATGCAAGCATCCCAGTAAGGCTGAATACTAGGAGTCAGGTGTATAGGGAGAAGTGTGTGGAGGAAAGGGAGAGAATAGGATGGACCGTGTGTATATACTTTCCTTTGATGTGTGCATGTGTTTGTGGTGTTTCTCAACTTCCGAGATAGGCATTGTAGTACTGATATTGAAAGTGACTTAGTGGCATTAATAGTTTTTGTAGTATGTGCATCATCTAAGTCGCATTAAGTGACTTAATGGCATTAATAGTGTCTTTTGTAGTATGTACATCATCTATGTCTAAGTCGCATTGAAAGTAACTTAGTGGCATTAATTATAGTATGTACATCATCTTGAAAGCTACTGGTGTGATCTGTATTATAATGTGTACATCGTCTAACTCACACTGAAAGCAAGTATACTGCCGCACGTATACCCAACTCTGAGATGCTATCTCTACAGGTGGGTTGGGGTGGACGCTGCACGAGATAGGGATATCACAGGCAGTCAGTGGAGCCCTCTTCCTTCCCTTCTCCTTCACCCTCTTCCCTGTGGTGAGCAAGTATCACATGTCACATCTCCTCTAAGGGTTGTCGAGTTTTGTATTACAGTAAAGGCATTGTGAAATTTGCACCTTCCACTACATTGGTGGCACTTCAGTAAAAAAACACAGCCCTTTAGCCCTTTTGTACTGACTCATTCCCTTCAATTTTTGCCTTGGTGTTTGATTTGGTAAATATAGTGAAGAATGAAGTAAATATTCTTGTGCAGTAAAGATTATGTGAACAGTAAACGTATGCACTGCCTATTTTGAGACCCCAACCTTTCCCACTACCACTTTCGTATCAGTTTGCATGTAGTCAGTTAATTCATTTGTGGGTCCTCAATCCATCTATTCAGGAGCAAAATACCTCCTAATTAAGTAACAAGGGAAAAGAGAGTTTAAGACCTACTGAACCTTGCTGGTATGGTTATGGGTTTACTGGATGCCAACTCCCTCCCCCTATAGTTGGAGAGAAGGTTTGGACTGACTGCAGTCTACCAGATGAGTGCCATCTCTGGACTTGTCTGCATGGTTCTACTGCCCATGGCTCACACCATCCCTCCCAACACCCTGTGAGTACATACTGACCTTAGGCTGGGTTCACAGTACATATATGTCACGTTGCATGGTTGTGCCATGCCGCGTCGCATCGCGAGGATAGAAATGGGATTCGTCACAGCACACTGCATGGAGCAACAGGGCAACGCAGTGTGTTGTGAACTTTACTCAGGCTAGATCTGTTAGCAACACAAGTGGCTAACACACAGTACAATTTTTATGGGAAGAAACCTGTGAATGTGTGGTCCATGTAGTTCTGACATAATCATGTTTCCCCAAAAGTTGACAGGTCTTCACCTCCTCCCTCTTCTCTTTCCTCCACTTCCTTCCCCCCTCTCCCATCCAGAAACCCTCTCCGATGGTGCTACATCATTCTGGTGTTGTTTGTGATTAATTTGGCCACCGGAAACACCTTTGTTGCAATGGCTCTCTTTATCAACAACTCTGTGGTCTTTGAGAAACTGGGAGAGGTGAACGGACTTGCTAATTCTCTCACCTCCTTACTCAGGTCAGAGAGGGGTGGTTTTTGTAGAGGGGTGTGTGTAAGGTATGTCTGGTAGCCTTGGCTCCACTGTATTTTGTAGCCTATATAGTTTTGCTCATCTTCAAAGGCACCGCCGTAGTAGTATTCCCAGTACCCAAGCCTCCAGCATGTCAATACTCATATCCCCGAGGATGTGTGGCTGCCGTTAATTGAGTCAATATGAGTATTCGCTGGCTGAGTAGCCACAGTTTACACAACGATCTAATCAGCAAATCAATGGCCAGTGACCTTTCTTGGTAAGCTGTAGATGGCTGTGGCTACATCCCAAGCTGGCAGGCAAGGGAAAAGTGGCGAGCCAGTAAGCGAGAAGATGCGCGCGCAAGCCAGAAAAAGGTGAGATGGAGTGAGAGGGCTGTGTGCCGTGCGTCACTTGTGTCGTTTTGAACACACTGATCAAAAATGTCAGGCTTAGCTGCACCATAGCTGAGCTGTATATACGAAGGAGACTCCAAATGACGTCATTCCAGGTCTGCGCGGCGTCTTGTCTTCTCTGCTTGGTCCGCGCTACAACAGGCCGCTACAATTGCATGCTACACTACGCTCCACCACTAGCTAAAGTAGTACTCGCTCGGCAACAGGCACATGGGGTCACACAAGCATGCTCTTGGCCTCCTTTCCCTCGTCTCGCCCACCGATTTCTCTTACAAACCTGGCCATATTTTTGATGGTTGCTAGGTAATTCGTATGGTTGCTAGGCTACAAATAGGTTAACGCCTTGGTTACCTTCAGTGGTACATACAGGATATCCCCTCAGCTGTTTACTCTACCCCCTCGGGTGCTAGAGTAAACAGCTTCAGGGATATTGCCGGTACCTCTTCAGAACCAGGCGTTAACCTATACATGCCTTCACCAATTGGCGAGTGGGTATGTATGGTTGCAGGTCGATTTGGTACCGATATGTTTGGTAAAAAAATGGTATCATATTTGGCAGTTTAACCAAAGGTTGCATGCTGCCATTTATGGAGAAATTGAAAATGAGTTTTGTCTCTCTGTGCCTTTTCCACACATGCCCACTACAGAACGATATCTCCAGTGTTCTCGGGCACCATATTCTCCCTCTCGATATCTCGTGGAGCTCGCCATGTCGGGTTCCCGGTCAACTACTACCTCATATTCCTCATCTTTGGTCTCACCATTCTACTGTGTACAATCCTCGGTGCCGGCCTGCCTCCCTCCATCAACAGACAGATGGGTGACTCTCTGTCAATCAGTGGAAATGAGAGTCCCTCCATATCAATTAGAACGACCGACGAAGACACTGGTAGCTCTAGTAGTGGAACAAGTAGTGGACCGGAAACTAGCGTCTGATATTCACGACCTAAACATCATAATGTACAAGGGCATCAGGCAAAACTGTATCAAATGAAAAGCACCGAAGTGCAAACCCTCGGCGCATGGTGACGCGCACCTAGCAAGTTGTTGCTGCACTTGGCATATTTAGCAAGGTTACATGACACAACGCTCTTGCTATACATCAGACGGTAGCAACATGTGCAAACAAAATCAGGTCCACTCTTGATATCTGACATAATAGCTTGCTGCTCTCAAGCTTGCCATGTGCTTGCAAAGTTTACTCGCTAGTTTCACTTGCTCTTTTAGTGGCCTTTTGCAACTTATTTTTAGCCTTCATAGCTGATCTGACTGTAAGACTCGCATGCGTTTCATGGCTTTCTATGGCTCTGCTTTTCTCTTCACTGGAAAAACATGTTCGCAAGATATACACACTTTCAGCCTTTAGTTTGACACTGTGGCTCGGAGGCATGATAATAAAATAGCAACTCACACGACTGGAGAACGCAGAGAACGTCTTCTCACCGAACGAGAAACATAATGGCCGCTTCCACCACGTGGTCGAATATAATGCGCATGCGCATTTTCCGCAGCGATAAAAATGGCCGACTACGCATTAGCCATACATTGCTGGAAGCGCTCTAGCTTTGCAACGGAGCATTTTCAGAGAAAACTCCACATATTTTCTGATCTTCGTTACCCGTTAAGCAGGTCGTTGTTGATATGTAATCTAACATGGTTGTGAACATCAGAACTTACCAGAACAGAAACAGATAGATTTCCTGTGGGAACCCCTCCACTGCCCACACACTCCACAATACAGAGTCAATTAATAGTGGAGGAGGTACAGGAACTTCTAGGCAAAGGAGCCATAGTAGAAGTACACAACCCTCGGGGAGGGTTTTACTCGAACCTGTTCCTTGTCCCGAAGAAGGACGGCAGTGATAAACCTGAACGCTGAACAGTTTCGTTCACACAGAGCACTTCAAGATGGAGGGAATCCTAGCCAATCCGGAGGATTGGTTGGCAAAAGTGGACCTAAAGGACGCGATCCCAATCCACCACAAGTACTTGAATATACCAGGGAAAATACTATCAGTTCCAGTGCCTCCCATTCGGCCTGTCATCGGCTCCCTGACCAAGACCCTGAAGCCAGCGTTAGCTCTCCTCCGGGAGATGGGAGTACGACTGATAGCATACATAGACGACATTCTTGTCCTGGCGGAGTCCCAGGAACAAGCAAAAAGACATGCAGAGGCAGTAGTGTACCTTGTGCAATGCCTGCCAGCCCAAGTGATGGGCTTGACAGTAGACACAGTCAAAATGGAGTTGAAACTCCCAGTGGACAAGATAAAGAAGATCCGTGCGGAGTCACGGGCCATGATGAGGGAGAAGCAGGTCTCGGGGAGAGTCCTTGCTCCGCTGGTGGGGAGGATGAAGGCAACATCACCCCAGCACCACTCTTTTATCGCCACTTACAGCCGGCCCTGGTAAATCAACATTCCCAGTGCTACAAGTGCAGGTTCCCCTGTCCAAATGGAGTAACTGGTGTGGTGGGACACCCACATGATAAATTGGAATGGGGAGTCCCTGGAAGTGGACTTGACAATAGATTCAGATGCCTCTCTGACAGGTTGGGGAGCAACCAGTCAGAACCAGAGGACAGGAGGTCCATGGTCCCAGGCAGAAAGCAAAATGCACATAAACTGCCTGGAACTGCTAGCTGCAACACTATAGCAGTCAAGACATTCCTGAAAAACAAATCCAGGATGTCAGCACTCCTCAATACCACGGCAGTGGCATACATCAACAACCTGGGAGGAACAGTCTCCAAGGAATTGGGGTGGACTTGGCGAAGAGCCTGTGGATGTGGTGCCGGAAAGGAATCTCCACGTCATAGCCCAACATCTACCGGACGTAATAGCCGATGCGGAGTCTCGGACTATGATAGATCGGTGAGACTGGCCTGTGATATTCAACAGGATCACACGTCCCATAGAGATGGATTTGTTCGCTGACGGCTCAGTGCCCAGCCTTTTTCAGCTGGCGGCCAGATCCCTATGCAGTGGCAACAGATGCCTTCCTGCAGGACTGGTCTCAAATCAAGGGTTATGCCAGGAGTCTGATGGGGCGGGTACTGTCCAAAGTACAAATGGACAAGGCTCGCATTGTTCTGGTGGCTCCAGTCTGGAAGACACAGCCATGGTACCCCCTATACTACTGCAAATGCTACTTGCAATACCACGTCTGATCAATCACGATCAGATAATGCTGAACAGAGATCCGGAGGATCTCGTCCCTCAGCTAATATCTCAGGCTGGCACACCTGCATAAAGAGGGTTATCAATATCGATCCCTCAACTCCTACCGCTCTGCCATCTCATTGGTGCATGAGAGAATAGATGGCTATACAGTAGGGCAACTCCCCCTTGTTACAAGATTGATGAAAGGTGTCTTTAATGATAGACCCCCACTGCCTAGGTATACATGTACATGGCATCACACATGTACATGGCACACACATGTATATACATGTACATGTATATATGTACATGTACAGGGCATCACATGGTCTATTGTTACATGGAATGTACAGAAAGTACTGTCATATATATCATGGGAGAGCAATGCCTCCCTGTCATTGAAACAGCTGGCGTTGACACACCCCTCTACTCGGTTTTGAAAGTGTGATGGTGCTGCTTTGGGGGTGCGCTTGAAGAGAAGTGCGCGGTATAAATTCGGCGCGTGTCATTTATGCGCATGCGCATATATTCAATCGAGTTCTGTTCCGCGCCGTATCGCCACGTTCCATACGGGGGCGGTTTGGCTGATGATTATGAAGAGTGTGTCTGTACCTGGCTAGAGAAAAGAAAGTCGATGGAAACTGGGCCGTTATCCTGTACAGGGGAAGCGAGAAGTAGCAGAAAACGGCGCAGGAGGAGCGGGAGATGCGCTAGCTCCCTTTTCAGGGCTGAAGACGTCCGATATCGAGATCACAGTTGAGATACGACACTCATAGGCACCAAAAAACGCTGCAGGGAGTAGGAGCCACTCGGCAGTACATGGTCTTAGGCGAGAAGGATTTCACCAGCTGATATAAAGGTAGGAAAAATAATTTAACTACACCAGTCTGAAAAAGTTAATGGCAACGGTTTTCGAGTAGTTTTTGGCTACACGTGGTGATATGCAAAAGACTTTACTTTGCACCGTTGAAGAAAATGTCTTTACTTCACACCGTTGCAGAAATGCCTCACAGTGGATGGTTTAGGAGGCGGCTGTTTCGTCTCATAGCGTGTTCCCGTGCCAAAGCCAAGGGCATCAAGATCACCAGAAGAGACTTGAAGATTTTCATCCCTGCCTTTCTAGCCCTGGTTAGTCCAAGCTTGGTTGGCATGGCATGGACCTTGGCCAGCTGACAGCTGTTATTGTCCTGTGCATGAACAAACATGGAATACTACAGTGGAACCTCTTATAATGGACACTCTATAAAAGACACTTTTCCGATCCAGTACTAACGTCTTAAGAACACCTATTTCTATACAATCTTCTGTGTCCTTTATACGCAGGTTCCACTGTACACAGAACTATGTACCTTGTCTTTGTGTTGGAACCTAATATTGCGTGGTTCCTTGTCTTGTTGTGCCGGCATGTATACATCATGCTTCTCTCATTACGTGTGTGTGGGAGTATGTACAACATATCTAGACCTACAGCGGAGTCTCGTTATAAAGAACACTCTTTGTACGAAATTCTTGATACTACAAACACACCCTCGGAGCCTAGCCCAATAGAACACTATACATTTCGCCGCACAAATTCCCTCTACTGTGAACAAATTCTTTAGGTCCCCAGCAATTCATTATAACAAGACTCCACTGTATATACTACATATGTACACACTGTTGCAGTTCTCCAGTGCATACTCCATCACAATGCTGTTTCCATTCCTGCCATTCATGGTCCAGTTCCTACTGCCTCAGGTAGAGGAGGAGAACATCGGTATGTCGTAAGTACATGACAAATCACGCTTGACTTACATACATACTGTAAAGAAAGAAAAGAGGAGCGCGGAGGGCTTTTGAAGCACCACTTTTATCTGTAACGAATACAAATAGGTTTTTATGGGTAAACCATGCCACGATCACTTTTTGCTAATGTTTTCATTGACTCTCTTAATTTTTTGGCCCATTGATATGGAACTCGCTGTACATACATACATACATACATACATGTACTTGTTGGATATCCCTACGCAACCGACATGTATGAAGCTACATACTGGGGAGTTTTATGAGCATATACTATCCTGCACAATGTAAGGTGGGTTCATACATGTCGGTTGCTAGGGATGTCCAACAAATATATTGCAGTGCCCAGACAGGGCAGCATTCACCCTTACAGGGCTCATGCTGTCCTGTCTGGGCACTGCAACATATACATACATACGTACATAATGTAGTTCTCTCGTGTTTAATGTGCTCCAGGAAAATATGCTGGATTCATTGCATCATCCATGTTCCTGGGACGTTTCTTTGGAAGGTATATACACCTGCCAACTCAGTATGTGTGTGGATGTAGTCTGTATTGTCGTTATTAACCCTCGGCGCACATGCGCAGTGAGGGTTACTGTAGTTGTCGTGTGTGTCTGTCTGTCTGTCTGTCTGTTACCCAACACCTCACTTCACGAGCCATCAATCACTCCACAAACAATACCACGTATTCAGCATCGAGTATAGGTCGAAATGTATGTAGGGCTTTCTCTGAAACTGCTGCATTCGAGAGTTACGGCGTGAAAACCAAGTGAACTAGCCAATATGCAAATTAGCACGGGCTTACCTCGAGATGCGCGCTCTCTAGCCAATATGCAAAATTAGGCTAATTTTTCATATTGGCTAGAGCAAGCGCATCTCGAGGTAAGCCTGTGCTAATTATGAGCGCGGGCTTACTACCTCGAGATGTGCTTGCTGTGCGTACCAGAAGTTGCAATGTTATCTAGTAGTGTAGCTAGCCCGTTTCCGACCGTCAGTGACCTGGTAGTAGGAGACCACGAGTCAATATAATGGTAAAAATGCCCAGCCCATCAATTAGCAGTACAACACATGCGTGTACTTCCGCGCACACTTTTCGTTCCCAGGCCCTTTATGTAATCTGTTCACGCATGCGTGAGATATTCCGTAAATATTTTACGTAAAATAATATCCTTTTTTTACATGGGCTAAAAGTCTGCAGAGAACGTTTACCAAACCTATTGTTGAGCTAAAAACATGGCAAATGCACAGAGCGAAAGATCTGCCTCACTTGGTGTAGCATGCTTACCTCGTCTGCAGCCTTCACAGAAGGCTGTGTAGGTCTGTCTTCCTCAACTTTGCTTTGACATGTAACCCTTCTCTAGCGACCGCTCGTGCCTCGCTCCACAAACAATACCACGTATTCAGGATCGAGTATAGGTCGAAATGTATGTAGGGTTTTCTCTGAAACTGCTGCATTCGAGAGTTATGGCGTGTGAACGAGCCAATATGCAAGTTAGCACGGGCTTACCTCGAGATGCACTTGCTCTAGCCAATATGCAAAATTATGCACAGCGAAAAAAGAGCCTCACTTGGTAGCATGCTTACCTTGTCTGCAGCCTTTCACAGAAGGCTGTGTATATGTACAGGCGGTCTTCCTCAACTTTGCTTTGACATGGAACCCTTCTCTACGTGTCTCCGCCGAGGGTTTGCACTTTAGTTTTTTTCATTGGTAAAGTACCTGGCTTAATGAAGTGGGTTTTGGTCTTTTGCCTTGGTAATTTATTAACAACCATCTTCCCTTTTTCTTCTCTCTCTCTCTCTCTCTCTCTGTCCTCATCTCCTTCTCTCCCTCTCTCCCTCCCTCCCTCCCTTTCCCACTCCACATGCACGAACACACACACACACCCAGCTATGCATGGGGGGCCCTAGCAGACAAGAAGGGCCGTAAGCCGGTGGTGATAGTCAGCTGTGTTCTGATCGGCCTCTCCTCTGCTGCTTTTGGTTTCAGCGTCCAGATCTACATGGCCGTCGTATTCAGATTCTTTGTTGGTCTGTTCAATGGTGAGACACTTGTTCTAAGGGATGGGCATCCCGGAGCCAATTGTGCCTCTCAGAGAAGCTCTGACTGTGGCTCTAACACCAGTTCTGTACTTTAGCTAATAGAACTGTTTGTCAGTATAATGGTTTAACCGGGGTCTGTGGTGTGCAGACCATCATGTTGCAATACTGATCGAAATACCTCTACCGTTATATTGTATATACCCATGCCTGTATGTTCAGTACACATTATTGAGTTTGTACGGAGACTGGTCTTCAGTACATATACCAGACTGGACTGAGTCCCCACTATGCAAAAGTTGGGTGTTTTTTGACGTATGTATGTAGCTTTTCTACCAATAGGTTTCATGCTATACAGTTTTTCACTTACTCCCTGCTTGTGACTATTGTTGGCTTTTAGTGAGTAGCTACTGTAGCTAGCCCGTGTCAGACTCTCAGCGAGCTACTAGCGGGGGACCACGAGTTAACGCATACTATAATAGCCCAACCCATCAATTAGCGGTACCGCGCATGCGCAGTTCGCCAAGGGTTTGCACTTTAGTGCTTTTCATTTTGCAAAATACTTGCATGCAGTTCAGCTCTTTTCACGTGATAATACAATTTTACCATTACAAAAACACATGTACACACAGGTGTGGCAGGTACGGTGAAGGCTATCATATCGGAGTCCACAACCAACCGATCCCAGGCCCTGGGCATGTCTCTCATCATCTGTGCCTTCAGTCTGGGCCTGATCATGGGTCCTGCAGTCTCTGGGGCTCTAGCTGACCCCATCGGTCAGTACAACCTCAATATATCAAGTGAGTAAAGTGGGGGTCCCTTTAATTAAGACACCAATGGGGTAGAAGGAAGCCTCCATATTTGCCATGTATAAAATAAAAAAAACACCATGTGATGCCAAGAGAAAAAAGATGGGGAGCTCTGGACAGCTGTTTCGGGCTTGTTGGCCCTCATCAGCAGAGCGTACTCAACTTCTCTCTCTGGCATCACGAGTTTATAAAGGCTATGCAAGAACTTATTGTAACAATGTCGATAACCTGTGGAATTATTCAGGCAGTAAAATATTTTTTCATGTAACGAGAGTGGAGTCCTCTTTTCGGTATCTCTCAGTGTTCATGCTGTTTGGTACACAGATGCGGTGGTTCGGGAGTTCCTGACGCGGTTCCCGTACAGTCTCCCATGTCTGGTGAACCTCCTCCTCAGTCTCCTCTCCGGCGCCGTGGTGGCCATCTGGATGCCCGAGACACTCCGCTCCAAGACGTGAGGATGAAAATTGTTCTGTGGCATACAATCTCTGTATATAGCACACACACACACTTCAAAACAGTTGTAGAAACAGTGCCAATGAAAAGCACTGAAGTGCAAACCCTCGGCGCATTGTGACGCGCGCGCGTGAGTAAACGCATGCGCTGTATCACTAATCGATGGGCTGGGTAGTCGTGGTCTCTTGCCAGCTCGCGCCTGACGCGGGCTAACTACACTACTAGATAGCATGCGGGAGGTGATACACGCCCTGCGTTGCATCTTCTGGTGCCTCCGAGGTATATACACAGAGCACGCGGATCGATCAGACCGCGGTAAGCCATCCCGTCCATTGCGTATTTGCATATTGGCTTTTTCGCGCTCTAGCTCTGCAACGGAGCATTTTCAGAGAAACCCCACATATTTTCTGACCTTCGTCGCCCGTTGGGTAGATGGTATCGTTTCTGGGACGAACAGACATTCGAGAGGTGAGATGTAGAGTAACAGACACACACACACACACACACACACACACACACACCCAACTACAGTACCCTCGCTGCGCATGCGCGCCGAGGGTAATTAGGTGCGTATATACAAAGCTACGGTTTGTTCCACAACACCTCATAGTAAGGGAGGCAACATTGAGAGTAGAAGCACATGCAATTCAGACAACTACATATAGGCAGGCTGGCTCACCAATAACAACATAGCAAACTGGAACTTGTCGGTGCATAGATATTTTTGTGATCCCATGTGTGAACTCTAACGTGTCTCTGTCTCACCCGCCGCTACCAGGTCAAAG